TAAGGTTGCGGGAGAAACTCCTCCAGAAATCAATCGACAGAGTTTCGACAGGTTACACATTAATTGTTTATTAGAGTAGAGATTGGACCCGGGTTGGGTCCAACCGGGTCACCCGCGGGTGAGCCGGTTAGCCGGGTTATGAAAATTACCACCCGGGTGGAAAAATGAATGTAACACAATGGGACGTCTGATTTATAATTCAATTTTTTTTTACGTTTCATATTAATATGTATTATCAACATTTTAATACGGATTACCCAATCTCTTATAAATAATGTAGTTATCTTGTTACATATTAATATATACTAATGAATTATTTTTGTTTTTTAAAAGAATATTGAATGTGGATTTTGCATAATGTCACAATAACATTTAACATGATCAACATTTTTATTTTTTTATATTATGTATTATTACGGATTATCTTATGTTTGATTTATAATTCATTTTTTATATTTATCATATGTATTTTTAATACAGATTATCCAACCTCTTATAAATAATAATTTAGTCAACAGTATTGTCAGTACATAATATATTAATGTTTTTGAAAAAGAGCATTGAATGCAAATTTCCATATAATACCACAATGACGTTTAACATTACATCTGATTTATAATTCATTTTTATAAATAATAATTCAACCAACAATATTGTTAGAGTTATCTTGGCAATGATACTATTGATTCATCATTTCTTTTGTTAATTAATAATTAAGAGATTGTTTGAATTCTTTTCATGTAATCATAATATATCCTTGATTTACTGATTTGGCATTTGAAAGTAATATATAAATAAGTTGTAATATTTTAATAAATTAAAAAAAATAAAATTTTTTCTCATTTATCATACTATGGGTGATAATACTGAATATTACGAACTAGATTCTGATATTGATACCATTCTTGATACATCAGAGACTATTGAGGAAGTTGTTGAGGAAGTTGTTGAGACACCTGAGAAAAAATTTCGAGTAAATTTTCAGCATCAACATAATTTTAAATCCAAAAAAAAAAGTTTTGTTTGGAGTTATTTCCAAGAAGAAAATGGGAATGATGTATGCAAAATACTTATCTCAGTAAATGGTAAGGAAACCACATGTGGTAAAAGTTACAAACATGATGGTTCAACTGGTAATATGAAACAACACCTTCAAATGAAACATGGAATATTGGAATCGGAGGAACTCCATACTGGTTTAGAAAAATATGCTCAACCAAAAATTGATAATATTTTCAAAAAAGTTATTCCACATAGTTCGTCCAAGCAAAAAGAATTACAGCTGAGTGGTTGATTACTGATTCATTACCTTTTAATGTTGTAAATAAAAAAGGATATTTAAAAATGATGAAAACAATTGATCCTGCTTTCAATCCACCTTCCAGTAAAAGCATAAAAAATAGTCTTGCTGTTGCATATAACAAAGGCGTTTTACAATTAAAGGAATTGCTTTCAAGAACCTGTGAAACTGCTTCTATAACAACTGACTTATGGACATCTCGAAGTAATGATGGATATATTGGTGTGACTCTTCATTGGTTATCACCAGATTTTGAAGTATATGATGCAATATTGGCTGTTGAAAAAATAGAATATCCACATACAGGTGAACGTATTAAAGAATACCTAAATGCAAAAGTTGAAGAATTTGAATTATCTGGTAAAATAGTTTGTGCAATTACTGATAATGGTAAAAATATGAAAAAAGCAATTAGAATTTGGGATGTTGTAGAACATATATCATGTTCTGCACATACTCTTCAACTTACAGTTTTTCATACCTTGAAGTATATTAAACCATATACAAAAAGAATCAGAAAGCTTGTCAAGTTTTTCAAATCTTCAAAACAAAGTCAACGACTAGACCAAGCACAAATTGACTTAGCTCAACGAAATAATGTTACTGCTGCACCTGTTCAGTTGCATGGTTCTCAAAATTTAATTGAATTAGAAATAGAAGAAAATAATAAGTCAGAAAATGTAGACATGGAATTTAAAGTCCTACGTACTATAAATGAAGTAAAAACAAGATGGAATTCATCTTTTTTATCTTGGCAAAGGCTTCTTAAATTACGCACAGCAATTGAATGGCTTTCCTCAACTTTACATTTACTAGAAGATGCTGGTGCAAAGGAAGATTCTCGAAAACTAAATAATTATAAACTCAATGAAAATGAATGGGAATTATTAGAAGGATTAGTTATGTTGTTTAAGCCTTTTGATGAACTAACAACTTACTTCAGTGGAATTAAATACACTACTCTTTCAGTTGTTAATCCAAGTATAGAGACATTAAAATTTGAGTTTGCTGATGGTGATTTGTTGGACTCGCATGAGCTGAACAAAATATTTAATGATAATGAAACTGAAAATCTTGGTTTTGATGAAGGTAATTATTTTTCAATTAAACCTTTTTTTCTTAATTAAAAATTAATTTTTACCTTTTTCATATTTTAGATGAAATTTCATCTGATGATGAAAGCTCTGGAGATGACTCAAGAAACATAAAACAATTAAAAGCTCCATCTTCTCAACAAATAATTTCTAAAGTTAAGGGAATCATTTATAGCTCGCTCTGGAATTATTGGAGTGATTCAGAAAAGATTGGGCTAATGGCTACTTTATTAGACCCAAGATTGAAATTAATGGAAGTATGGTCAAATGAAACAAGAGAAGAAGCAATCAAAGAACTACGTACTGAATTCAATACTTGGCAAATCAAAGTTGCAAATGATGATTCTTTAGAAGAAATCCCTTCTTCATCCACACCTTCCTTTATGAAAAAAGTATTTTGTCATAGCCAAAGAAAAGTGAACCATGAGATTGAAATAGATAATTATTTAAACGAAATGATAACTCCAACACAACCTGAAAGAATTGATGTTTATCAATGGTGGAATAACAATCGAAATTCTTTTCCTATTCTTAGTAGAATTGCACGCAAATATTTATCAATACCCACCACTTCTATTCCATGTGAACGTCTTTTTTCTGATGCAGGGAATTTAGTTACCTCTAAAAGAACACGTTTAGGACATGAAGTAGTAAATCAGTTATTATTTGTAAAGAGAAATAGTTTATATTGTAAAGTTTGGAATTAATAAAAAATAAAATTATTTTTTATCATTTATGTAAATTAAATCCATATATAGAAAGATCTGTTCACTACCCGGTTGACCCGTCGGGTAGACCCGCGGGTCACCCGGGTGAAGTTTTTTTAGACGGGTCCAATCTCTACTTATATACATCGGAATTAATGAGAGTGAATATAAAAAACAAATCTTGGTTTTTATAGTGCAGGACACCTAGTCCCTACAACTTTCTGCGCCACAGCGACAGATTTGGGAAAAAATTCCCAATCAAAAATGCAA